TTATACCGACGTTATACCGACAGCATCGATATATTTGTTCACGACGACGATCGGCCGTTATATTCGAAGCTGTCGCTCACGCTGTCGCGCGACCGGTCTATACGCGCTCTCATTGGTCAGTGTTTTTCATTAATAATTCAAAAACTAAGCTTTAACCAGCATTTTGGTAAAGGAAAAAGTTGTTCAGAATCACTCCAGCTACCACCCCCTAAAATTATGCCCACCAGTAGCCGAACACCCTGTATACTTAATTATATACAGATTCAACTATATTTTTACTCTGTATAAACACATTTACCGCCTGCGAATGAAATGGATAAATACCATCACTTTATAACTTAATACGTTGAGTACTGTGCAAAATAAAAAATTTACGACTAAAAGCAAACGCTTAAACTTTCAGGTTACCAAATCTATAAATTTTCAGATTTAAAAAGTCCTCAGATTTATGAACTTGCTTTACAGTCTTCCACACTAAAAAATTCAAATCATTTCAGAAACATAATTTTATAAATTTTACAAACTTTCGAAGTGAGAAACTTAGAACTTTAAAAACCTTAAAAATTCATTTCCAAGTTTAGAAATTGGGTCAGTATGCAGTGCTCAACATGTTAATACCAACCAAAATTAAAAGAATTCACCCCCCACTTTCAATTTTCTCTTAATTGTAGCACACCCAACTTTCATTATTGCAACCGAGTAACAAATAATAATCAAGAATTTATTAATTGAATTTCAGACATCCGATGATATCGAAAAGCTTATTAGTAGTCCTCCGGTAGGTAAACATTTCTCTGGAAAAATAATTCTATTGGTTCAGTTCTGCCACTCACTGTAACCTGATTCCTATTTTGCAATTCAAAAACCGACACACGTATCAATGATTAGTACTAAAAATGGGTCAATGGTGGTCACTATTATTGAAGTACAAAATATATAACATTCAAGATAAAAAATTTCTCACAAAAATAGACTGAAAATTTAATCAAATATGAAACATTGTCACTTTTTCTTTCGACTTTGATTTTGCATATAAAATTATCATCTGAGCAGTTATATCACTTTTGAGACACCCTGTATAGAACAAAAGACTGCTTAAACATTCTGATGATTCTGAAGTATTTTTATATTTGAAGATAAATAAAGACAAATTTTGTTCTTAAAAATAACATTAATATTGTTTTACTATTAAAAATTGTATCACTATTTTTGAGACGCTCTGTAGGACTAAATGACTTCTTGCAGATTCTGGAGAATTTGAAGTATGTTTGCATTTGAAGATAGGCATGAAAAAATGTTATCTTTCTTGGTTAATTTTTACATGCAGAATCATCGTCCAATTAATCATAGTAACCATGTTTGAAACATCCTGTATAGAACAGAAGACTACTGATGGTTTTGAACTATGTTTATAATTCATCATAGCTTTGAGTTATTTACATTTGAAGGTAAATACGAAAAAATGTTATTTTTTTTCTTTAACTAACTTGCTAAAGAAAGGTGTTCTTGCATACAGATCACTCTTGTTGTACGGAGTTTCTGAGACACCCTGTATAATTACTCAGACCTAACAGCATGAATCTCGCAATAAATATTTGCCATTATACGCTAATTCCGTAAGAATAATTACAAAAGTGGCCACCATAACCCATTTCCCTGACCCGGAGAAAAGCAACCCCGCGTCACACGTGACGCGATCGTAAAGGGTTAACGGGTGCTGTCGCCATCCTTGTCACCCATCCCGCAATCAATACAAGAAAAGTAACGAACCGACCCCTTCCATTCTCCAGAAAGCGTTTCTCGCGTAAGATCGAGAGACGAAGGTATCCCGGCCATCTTAACGGTGTCCCGGTAGCGGGATCCTCTCGGCGAGTATCGCGGTGTAACGATTCGAAACAAAAAAGCAAATTGTTATGACGCAGGCTGCGCAAGGAGCGGTGCGCCTGGAGGGCGACGTGATAACGGCGAACGGCTCGATATTATCGGGGCAAGTGGGCAACCACGGTGACACGATATCGTTGGACGACGAGACGTCGGTTTGCAGCTGCCGCTGCAGCGGCTTCCAGAAGAAACGACGGAGACCACGGTTCACGGTCCGTCGCTCGCCCGGTAAGATCTCGCACCTGCTGCCGAT